CTCGATTCATTGGTGGGAGAAATGTTGAGATTGATCATCGTGGAAGAATAGATAGGCGAGTGAAAGTGGGTCAATACAAGATCGATTTTTTCCGAGAATACCATTGTTGTCTTATCAAATTCCCATAATACAATACTTTCACCAAAATTTCCAAACTACTAGAGTTTGGTGTAGTTCTCTAGTGTCAAATGTGTACTGGTAGTATGGTACATTACATCGCCGATGTCAAAGACAATATATATTAATCTGTGATCGCAAAGGGCTCAAGATAGGGTGAGTAACCTTAGGGTGAGTAACAATGAGTAACCAAATCTGGACCATTCTCTTGACTGACTACAGATCTAAGGGTGGAGAATTAAAGAAATTTATTTTCCCTAGTTTTCTTAATTGGATCATATCTTCTTCATTCTAACTCGGATTCCAATTTTTTTTTGCACAGATGGAACGAGTTCGTTGTGCTCTACAAAATGATATCAATTTTCAATATTTTTTGAGAATTTTTTTTCATCCCTCTCGTTACCAACTCCATACCATATGGTATCTCCTTCGTTGTTTAGTCATTTTCCGAAATTTTTGCACAAAAGGAACGATTTAATCATGATCTATTGGATTTCAAAATTTTCTGACGGGGGGGGGGGGGGGGTGTAATTCCATACCTCTCGTTACCAACTCCATACCATACTATACCACCCTGGTATGAGGTGGTATTTTTCATACCATATGGTATGCTGTTATTTAATACTATGGTATTGACTGGTAATAACTGGCAAATTTTTTTGTTCCAAAAAATATCAAAGTGGATATTATTTTGAATCGTTACCAACTCCATACCATACTATACCACCCTGGTATGAGGTGGTATTTTTCATACCATATGGTATGTTATTTAATACCAATCCATACCATATGGTATTGACTATACCATATGGTATTGACTGGTAATAACTGGAAAATATTTTTTATTCCAAAAAATATCAAAGTGGATATCATTTTGAAGAGCACAATTAATCTGATCTAACTGTGCAAAAAAAATTAAATTCCGAGTTAAAACGAGTGAGAAATCGTCCGTTAAAGATTAATGGAAAGAAAATTAATGATTTTTTCAGGAGAGAGAAGGAGGCACTGATGTGGCAGATTCTTATTGGGTTATGCATGGGGTTACTCACCACAAGATTACTCACCGAATCTGCTCGCATCGCAAAGCTATCCAAGGGGATCGCTGGAATGAACAACGAACAAACCCAAAATGGTCGTTGTTCTCACAAGCGATCAACTCCCATAATGATTAATGAAGACACTAACTTAACACTATCATGCATGCAATTTACTTAAAAGACACGAAAGAAAACTAGGGTAATTCTTCTGTGTCGTTAATTTATTTATATTTCAATTTATTGATTAATAATTTAGTCACTAAGTCACAAATAAACATAGAATTCAAAATAAAAATATGCACCTCACAAGTACTATTCAGAGTCACATGAGGCTAGCGAGATGTCCTTGGAGTCTGGTTTCATGCATTTATGGGTCGTCAAAATGTGAAAATTGCTAAAATTCTATGTTTTCAAGACGAACCGAATCATGACTTGGGAAAGTGAACTGCTCGCGCGCACTTTAATATTCTAACCATCATTAGAGAGTTTTAAAACCTTTAGAGAATCGGTACGTACCTAATAAATGTCATCTGTATAAATAGTGCATTTTCACTTACCTAGTTACTTCACAAGGGATGACAAGGTAGAAAATGGGAGAAAAGCAGTGGGAAGAGCAGGGAAGAGGCAGCAGTGGGCAAAGCGGAGAGCTCAGAGCATAGAGGCAGGGTTTGCTGGTGATAGCTGTCGCCGGCAAGAGCTCGGAGGTTATAGATCTACGAGCTGGGAGCGGCTACACTACGACAGGTATTGGCGACGGGGAACGACGATGTGGAGTGGCAACAGAACAGCGATGTTCTCTCTGTCTATTTAGTTTGCACGAAGGCTAGAGATGAATTAGGATTAGGGTTTTTTTTTCAGATAGCCCGGAGTTTTGGGTTTTCAGTTTTTGATTCCCTTTTTTAATTAAACCAAACGCCGAAAGGAAAAAGCAGGGCGATCGGATCGAGCGGTGAATCGCCTCGGCAACTTGCCGACTGCTCTAGAAACTCGTTTCGGCTATTTGGCTGTGCCGAGTCGGTTTGGTGGTCGGTTGCGAGATCCACTGAAACACCACCTTCTTTTTCCCCTTTGAGACCACTGAAACTCCAAATGCGACTACAATGGATGGATCTTCTGCACAGGCTTAGTTGTGAGGAAGACTACGGAGAGGGCTGAGGAATTGAATGGCGCCGACCGTGACAATTGCGGTGGGGCTCCTTGATCTGTGGTGGGCCTTAGGGAAGAAGATAGAGAGAAGAGAAGGAAGGGAGAGAAGGGGATGGTTAGTACTTAGTCGGGGTCCTAGTTAGATGAGACAGAAGGATTTGTTTTGAGTGTTAGGGAATTTATTTTTGGGTTCTTACTTCTTAGGGGAGAAGAGATCGCATCAGCCAGTTGGGGAAGAAGAGAAAAGAGAGAAGTTTTGTGGGGAAAGAATAAAGGGAAAAAAAATGCAGGCGGCATGGGAAGTGAATGGGTGGGAACTGGGAAGGGTGTTGTTTGCGGTTATTTTGCTATACCGAGTAACCGATGGTTACTTACCGGGTAGAACTCAGTATACCGATGACCCAAAATTTCCCATCTTATACCGATACCGTTGGTTATTATCGGTATAACCGATAACCACTGGTTACCAGTTCGGAAACCGGTTATACCGATAACCGGCAAACCGAATACCACCCCTACTATTTATCATATCAAACATTTCAATCATGATAACTCCAGGTCGTACAAGGTGGTCCACTAGGTCGTCATTGCAGAAAATGCACGAAATACTACCCAAAGAGCATTAAAGACAAAAACATCGATATAGGCTACTAAACACACATTTGAACAATAGCCAATAGATTAAATTACCAAGCAAACATCCCTAGGGTATAAAATGTAAATTTTGCTAGTAATTATTGATCATGTCTCGTGATATTTAATTACTTAAGATCTTATTTACCTTACAAGATGAAACTCGACAAGCAGCTTAGAGGATGTCGCATTACTTCGTTGACGTGTTCTCAATACCCAACACGTCGCCTAAGCCCAAGACAAGACGTTTTGGTATTAACAAATTAAAGCCTAGGTGTGTTTAAGCCCTAATTAATTCGGCAACAAAAAGATAAATTTGTTCAGCTAGTCTTGATCCAGATCTTCGATTTACCTCTTATTTCTTCTTTTCTTCTCCTTCAACATACTCTGTTTTTTTTTCTTCTCCCATGTCTGGTAGCTCCGAGGTCCTCAATACCGCCATGTCTGCCGAAATTCCTCAAATTGTGACCTTCAATCACGCTGCCCAACTTTCGTTGAAGCTCACCCCCATCAATCGCGCTGCTTATGGGTCACAATTTATTGGGCTTCATCGACGGCACAACGGTTGCTCCTCCTCGTACGGTCACGACAGATGGCGCCATTTCATCCAATCCAACATATCAACTTTGGTTTCGCCAGGACAAGATCATTCTCCACGCCTTGCGCTGCTCAATCTCGGAATCAATCTATTCCTTTATCTAGGCTGCATCTACATCTCGGGCTGCCTGATTGACTCTCGAAAAACTCTATGCGAGCAACGCCTAGTCTCATGTTATACACTTGAAGAGCAAGCTGGCCAAAATCACCAAGGGTGAAAGCGATGTCTTGACGTTTGTTAATGATCTCAAGAGCATCGTCGCCGAACTCGCGCTCATTGGTGCTCCCGTCTTTGACCTCGATCTTGTGGTCTTCTCCCTTCGCGGTCTAGGTGAAGAATGCTCAGCCTATGCTAATCGTCTCTTGTCAGTAGTCATTGCACCTCTTGTCTTTCCAATAAAAGTCACAACTTCCCTTCGCCATATCTTCCTTATCTAGCACTAGACAATTTGATTTATTGTATGCAGATGTTTGGGGGGCCCGCTCCGGTCACCTCCATTGATGGTTTTCGTTATTATTTAATTATCGTTGATCATTTTTCCCGGTATACATGGTATTATCCTTTAAAACGCAAGTCTAATGTTCTTCAAGTGTTTATTACTTTTCGCAAGATGGTAGAAAATTATTTTTCCACCACCATTCGTCGGCTTTACTCTGATAGTGGTGGGGAGTTCCAAATACTATGCTCCGAGCTGGTTGATCATGGGATAAGTCATCTTTTTACACCTCCTCATACTCCTGAGTATAACGGCCTTGCCGAACGCAAACATCGCCATCTTGTTGAAACGAGTATCACTCTCCTGCATCATGCTCACTTGCCTACCACTTTTTGGTCTTTTGCTTTGCTCCACCCCCGGTGACCCGCACCCACCGCATGACGACTTGAGCCTAAGATGGGATATATAGGCCGAAAGCCTATTTTCAACCAATTTTGCAGCCTGCTCCCCTCCCACTGAGCCCCGTTCTGTTCGTGATGCTATGAAATATCCTGAATGGAACTCTGCTCTTCACAAGGAACATTCTGCGCTGCTTCACAACCAGACTTGGGATCTTGTTCCTCGTTAGCCGCACTTTAATGTCCTTGGCAACAAATGGGTCTATCGTATCAAGCATCACTCTGATGGTTCTATCAATCTCTTCAAATGTCGTCTTGTGGTAAAGGGTTTTTATCAACGGCCCGGTGTGGATTTCCAGGATACTTTCAGCCCCGTGGTCAAACCGGTCACGGTTCACACTGTCTTCACCATTGCTCTCTCCCATCAGTGGTCCATTAAGAAGTTCGATGTCAACAATGCCTTTCTTCAAGGGCCACTAGAGGATGAGGTCTATATGGTTCAACCTCCCGGCTTTGTTGACCCTGAACGCCCTCACGCATGGTATACAGCTCTCAACACTTTTCTCCTTGGCTTTGGCTTCGTCAAATCCCAATCTGATGCCTCGCTCTTTCTCTATAATCGTGTTGGGGTTCTCATGTACTTCCTTGTGTACGTGGATGATCTTTTACTCACTGGTAATGATGCTACCACTCTCACTGCATTTCAGCTGGCCCTCGCTGACAAGTTCTCTCTCAAAGAACTTTGTGATGTTAATTATTTCTTGGGTATCGAGGTCATTCCTACGGACACCGGTTATGTCCTCTCTCAACACAAGTACATGACTGATGTCCTCACTCGGTTTCACATGCTTGATGCGACTCCGATCTCCACTCCACTTGCCTCCTCTACTACACTTTCTCTCAGTGGTCCTCTCCTACTGATGCGACCCGTTACCGCCAGGCCTTAGGTGCTCTTCAGTATAATGTCTACACCCGCCCCGACATTGCTTATTAGGTCAACAAGCTCTCTCAATACATGCATGTGCCTACTTCTCATCATTGGCAATGTCTCAAATGCTTGCTACGCTATGTCCGTGGTACTATCACCTATGGTTTGGCTATTCGACACACCAGTTTACCATTGCGCCTCACTGCGTTTGCTGACTCCGACTGGGCCGACAATCTGGATGATCGCACCTCTACCTCGGCCTATCTTGTTTACCACGGCTCCACACCTATTTCTTGGCGATCTCAAAAGCAACGCACCGTTGCCCGCTCCAGCACCGAGGCCGAATATTGTGCGATTGCCATGCTATTGCTGAATTGGAATGGGTCCAAAATCTCTTGAAGGAGCTCCACCAGCCACTACTCTCTGCTCCAACTTTGTTTTCTGACAACCTCGATGCTACATGTTTCAGTTCCAATCCGGTCTTTCACTCTCGTATGAAGCATCTAGATCTCGACTTTCACTTTGTACGTCAGCTTGTATAGGACGGTCATCTCCGCGTCTCCCACATTCCGACTGCTCATCAGCTTGTTGACACGCTCACCAAGCCACCCCCTGCCACGCGGTTTCTACTTCTCCGGTCCAAGATTGGCGTCGTTGATAACTCCTCCATCTTGCGGGGGTGTATTGGAGAAAATGAATAATCATTCTTTTACTAATTTATTTATTTCTTTTCTGTTTTCCTCTAACCCACTTCTACGGATCCATTACTCTACTTCTCTGTACAATCTCCATCATCTCTCAACAACCTCCTCTGTACTGTTGTATAAAGGTTAAACAGAATACAAAAAGCATATCACTTTTAATTGCCAAATCCATTCTCCCGTTGCATATCTTAAATTCTAATATCTAGATTCCATTCATGGAGGATGAAAACTAGAAACCCACGACACTTCATATTCGATTTCAGGACTAAATTGCACTATTCTTCTTCTTAATGCTCTATCATAGCCTTGTCGTATTAGCTGATTCGCTTATCCTCTATTGGGGACATGGGATTCTTCTATGATGACCACTCCGGCTTAGTTGGAACACATAAACCACCACTTTCCCTAAAAAGGGGCTAGATTGACTAGAGTATAGTAATTGAAACTTGAGGTTGATGGTGTCAATCTTGCGATCTATTCTTCGTCTCGATTCATTGGTGGGGAAAATGTAGATATTGATCATCGTGGAAGAATAGATAGGAAAGTGAAAATGAGTCAATGTAAGATCAATGATTTCCCAGAGTACCATTGTTGCCTTATCAAATTCTCACAATACAGGACTTTCACCAAAATTTTCCAAACTACTAGAGTTTCGTGCAGTTCTCTAGTGTGAAAACTGTACTGATAATCTGGTACATTATATCGCCAATGTCACAGACGATTTATTACCCCAGGCAAGGCTGCAATTTGACAATGAATCCGTCAGAGTCAATGTTGCTGCGATTGTTCCTATCCTGAGGATTAAGTGGGGGATTTTCAAATGGAGGATGTCGCCTCTAGTATGCAGCGGGCTAAAACAAAGCTTGCTGGGGAGACTGTTTCTTGAAAACAGACCCAGAATATAGTCAAAGGAGCCTGGAATAGTACTAAGAAGATCACTGTGTTGGAGCCCGGTCACTCTAGTGGTGAGGTATGCACTCACATTTGTACCGTTCTGGGTACAAATGTAGGGAATTCCTTCCCACTGTCGCACGGTGACGTATTGTCAAAGGGTTGTCAAGTCCAAGATCGGTGAGGTGCTTGATGGGGGTTTGTTTGGAATTAAGGGTGAGCTGGGACATTTGGTCAAGGCGAGAGCGGAGGTGAAATGTTAGGCCATATGGAGCGGGACTGCTCTTTCCCACATCTAGTCGGGATTGAGAACTACAGACCCGGATTGTCAACAGATATCATTGGGTACCGTTTGAATGAAGGGACACTAGTGATAGCTAATCAACCATTTCAAAACAAGGTTTGGGTCAATCCTAAAGCGGGTGGCCAAGCTGGGAAGAAAGGGGCAGCTAGTCAAGCACAAGGCGAGATTGATGGTGGCGAAGGCGGGTCCTCTGGTGGTCGAACTACTATAGTCCTTGGCCTGCCATCTTGGAAACAGGATAAACTCTGTCAATCTCTAGCGAGTCCAATGATGGAGTTCAAGCTGAAACGGCGGTGGAAGCCAGCCGCGAGTGGCCCCCATCAGCAAAATGAGGATTTTATCATGGAACGTGAGAGGAATAAGTCCCTCGCTCATGTTCTAGTCGTTATTGGGTCTTGTTCAGTTTAATAGTCCAGATTTGATTTTTTTTTATCTGAAACTCGTTCGCATCGGAAGGTAGTGGCTCGCCGTATGCAAGGTTTAGGGTTTGCGTCATGGTCATGTTATTTTTGGGATGCGGAAAACACTTCGGGTTTTAGTTGTGGGTTGGTCCACTGATTTGACGTTTCGATGTTTTGTAATTTCTCGTATTTTATTAATGTCGAAATTAATAAAGATGATTGCTATTATGTTGTGGTGTATGCTCATATTAGTTGTGTCACGAGAATTCGTCAAGCTCAACTAGAGGATCTTCGAAATTATTGCGGAAGCCGTACTGTGTCGTTTATTGTATTGGGAGATTTCAACTCGATTCTTGCTTCAAGTGAGAAATCGGGGTGTAATGCTCGGTTACCGGCTCAATCGATGGAGCTTCACAATTTCGTGTATGATTTAGGTCTTCATGACCTTGGATATAGGGGTATACATTTACTTGGACCAACATAAGGTTGGGTGTTGCGTGTGTGGAGGAAAGACTTGACCGAGCATTTGGTTCTACTTTGTGGGTCGAGAAATTCCCTGGCACAATCGTTAAGCACTGCACTGACCAAGGATCCGATCACCAGGCCTTGTTGGTAGCATATAAGCCCTTGATGGATTTGCGGCACTATTGCGGAAAGCGGCAACGGATGGTAGACTTGCCAGACTCCAGGTTGGCCCGAGGGCTCCCCGCATTCACCATTTGGAACTGACCCATCTTTTCTTTGCAGGTGACCTGATTCTCTTTGGAGAAGCTAGTACGGAGCAAGAGGAGGTCATCTTGGATTGTCTTCAAAAGTTCTGTCGAGCTTCTGGAGAGCTAGTGAGTAGAGTGAAGTCGCGAGTCTTATTCTCCAAGAACCTAAAACGAGACCGTACCAAGGAAATCAGCAGCAAACTAGAGATCCCTATGACTCATGATTGGCGACGCTACCTGGGGGTGCATGTATCGCATGGTTGGGTAACGAAGTAAATTTATCGCTATATCATTAACAGGATTGACCAAGGACTTGCACGATGGAAAGCAGGCCATCTATCACTGGCCGGCCATGTGCTAAATGCGATTCCTTCATACGTAATGTGGACAACGATCTGCCTTATGGGAATTTGCGACTACACCGACAGAAAGATCAAGCGATTCATTTGGGGAAGTCAACAGGGACGCAAACGGATTCACTTCCTTGACTGGGAAACGATATGCTTGCCAAAAGACCAAGGAGGGTTGGGGCTCCGCAGCGCTCGTCGCTCAACTCCGCCTACTTGGTCAAACTAGCTTGGTATATGGTGAAACATCCGGAGGATCTATGGGTTAAAGTGGTGGAGGAGAAGTATTTGATGGAGGGAACAAAGAAATGGTTGCTGCGTATGAAGATTATTTGATCTTCCTTAATTATGGCGTGGGCTACGGCGGATTTGGATTCTCATGATGGAGGGTGCTCGTTGGTCGACAACAAACCACTTTATGGGAAGATAGGTGGTTGGATGATGATGTGAGACTAGAGAGGATGCCAGGAAGGAATCGGAGGGCTTCGCATCCTCTGCTATAGTTAGTGACGAATTCAGAAAATTTTCACAGGGGTGTCCTCTTCAGAAATTAAATTTAATTATATAATAAAATAATAATTCGTATATTAAAAATATCATACTTGTATAATTTGTATAAATTTTTTATTAAATAATAAATTAAAATTTATATTTTGAAAAAAATATAAATAAACTCCGTGTCTGCACTGTTAAAAAAAAATCAACATATCCTACTAGACAATACTTCATGAACTTATCACATATTCGATTTCTAACCTTGTTCTTAATGTAGCTCAAAGTAGAAAAAACTCTTTCAACACTTGCCGTGTAACCATAAAATCAATTGAAAATTAAGGGTAGCGTGTACGTAGTTTAATTATTAGGTATTGAAAATAGTTGGGGATAAAAAAAATAGCATTTTACTGTTGCATGATGTTTAAAATAGAATAATAAATGAGTAGCAACATAATTAGAATATATTTGATAATAGTAGTGTCCTAGGTTGGAATAACACGGACTACCACTTATATTTTGTTAATCATAAGCAAACTATTATCGAGGGTAGGACAATAATTTTTTCAAATGTTAGGGTGTCCCGGATTACCAATTATATTTTGTATACCCATACGAAACTGCTACCGGAGGTTGGATAATCGTTTCCCCAAATTTTAGGGGTGTCTCGGGACACTCCTAGAGGCCCATGTATATGCCCCTGGCTATAGTAGCGTAAATGACAACTTCAGCAGGTGATTGGGATGTTGCTCGTATTGCCCAATACTTACCTCGTCCTTTTCTATTACATGTGATAGTACGTGTTTCACTAGATGTCATTCCCTATGTTTGGCCCGGCTTTTAGAAGTGCTTTTCGGGTTCAAAAGCTGAAGCAGGGCCAAACACCTGTAAAAGCTCGGCTTTTGAAAAGCCGGATATCGCTTTTGTATAACATAAAAGCAGAAGCTCCGATTTGGAGCTTCTGCGAAAACCTGTTTAGAATTTTTATTCATATGTTATATTATAAGCCCTTTATAATCATTTTACACAACCTCTTATATTAAAAAGCACTTCTAATAGTTTTACAACCGAAAACTCAACTTTTTCTATTACAAAGATTATGATGGACAGACTGGCGATTCACTTCCTACAGATTGTGTAATGATGGATTTGTGGCACTATTGCGGA